AAAATTGTGGGGCCTGACGAAAACATCGCAGTGTGCCATGAAACACATACTTACAGGCCTACCCAAACACACACCCACGCGCAGAGAAATGTTTTTAATAAGTTTTAGGGTTTCTGACGCTGCACAGCACATAGTCATACATGTAGGCCCTACAATTTACGTGTCGTTCTGAAGCACGGTGCACAATGGGCGTCGATTATTGCGGAACATTTATTTCAAAGTTGTTATGTCACTAGAAATATTAAATCGTTATGTTAACATTTAAGCATACAAAATATAATACGAAGTAATTTTACACAACACCGTTATTAACATAATGAAAATATATGCATAATCCATAAAACAACACGGGGATAGGGTGAAGCGATCGCTTTTGTTCCCTGACCCGTTGGACACTTACAGACTGACGGACAATTAAGTACGAACTAAGGACAATGACAGACAAACAAACAAACAGGAGTATCATTAAGTTATTATTGTATGTTTACAAAGTATCAACAGACTACGAATAAAATGTAAAAAGTTGTGTTTTTAATTTTTTGGTAAATGTAGATAGAGTTAAAGACGTTTTAAGAGGGATACTTAGACTATTCCAGAAACTCGTACCACGTTGAAATATTCCATTTTTGAACACTGTCGTTCTATTGAAGCCAACATGAAGATTTTCTTCGCGATACTCCTGGTTTTATAACAATGAACATTTGAAGTTAAAGTAAAACATGAGCTAAAACACAAAGGGAGCAAATTATTCATATATTTGTACATGAATTTACCGAGACTGAGACAATAAAGATCATTCAATTGCAATAATTTAAGATTGGCAAATAATGGTGTGGTATGATCTCGATAACCAGCATTGGAAATTATTCGAACAGCTCGTTTTTGTAAGATAAGAAGTTTATCACACGATGACGACCCACCCCAGATGATATTGGAATAGTTTAAGTATCGGCGGGGGATGGGGAGACATGTCGCTCCCCCAACATTTGTCGTCCCTAAGCAAAAAAAGTGTAGCATACATTTGATTTTATAGCTCAGAATAACTGATTTAAAGGGAAAATACAACATTTGCAAACATCAAAAAACGAAATGATCAAATTATCATGAAATACTTTACTGAATTGTTAGGGATTGACAGTCTAAAGCATCCTGTAAAATCGTGGCTCCTGGTGTGCTGATATTTTCAAGAAAAACTGTATTTTCCAACGCTGGTCGGCCGACCAGCATTGGAGAAAACTGGCTTTTTTCAAAAACTGTTCTTAATTTTTCATATTTAGTTATTCTGACTTTTCTTTGCAAATGATCACACACCTGTGAAGGGGTACAAGCCTGCTAGACTGATTCTCTGACCTTACAATTCCCCAAAGTGTATTAATTGCTTCGTTTCATCTTAAGTGGGGTCGGGGAACCAGACTACAAGAACGTGATAGGTTTTCTTGGTTTTTCCAGCATGTACAAGCCCAAAACACGAAACATGTCAGTTTAACAATATTTTATATAACAAACTAATCCTTCAAATCCATTTATTTCTGAAAATTGCAGCAAAAGCAAATGTTGTACATTCCCTTTAATGACTCCAAGCTCGGACATGATATTTAAATGATGATCTTTTGCTTAAACCTTACAAGTAGTCAGAATTTGCCTCAGATAGAGAAAGGATAAGGTAAACTTGGGTTAGGTGACAGCTTAGGATTTGTGCACAAGTCTATAAGAAAGTCTCCCTATAATAGTAGACATATATATTTATTAGTATTATTTTGTTGGGGGATTTGCGCCTCTTTTCAGTGGTTTATGCAAATTTGCTAATGCAAGTTTCTATATTCATCAGCAAATGTGTGATATTGTTAATAGAAGCTTCAATGTTACACAGGGATGACATCGTCAGTTTAAATAAAAAGTCTCCAACTTGGATGAAAAGTCTGAGATATGCATTTCTGTCTATACTGACAATGTCTGAAAAAATGTCATGCCTTGTTAGCTGTTTCAGCATCACAATTCCGGTATTTTTGCTGCAGTCAACTTGATATTTGACAACAATATTACACAGTGGACAATTTATGTCATGGATTCCTTGAATGCGCTACTGCATATAAGCTCTTCTTGTCCACTGCCCATAATTGCAAATTTGAAAATTGTGTCCAGTTTGCATTACACCCTATTTTGCATTACACACACAGTATTTTCAGTTCCTCGATCCATTCGTATAATTTGTTTAGAAACTGCAAAATGTCAAGTTGGGTGTCCGCCCCCTTTAAGGATAAATCTTATCTATTCAGAACAGGATTTTGCTTTCGTACGTGCCACTGAAATCTGCACACAAAAAAAACATTCAAATGTCATACAATACATTATCTAATTTTTCAACAACCATTTTAAAACTGTTCCAATGTTTTGAACAGAAATATTTGTTGTTGGGTGTGGGGGTATCTGGGAGAGGTATATTTGTTGTCGGACTCAGATCTTCCGGATTATTAAAACTTATCAGCAATCGATCAAGTAAATAACACGTCATGTGCATGTGCGCAAGCATGAACTTATGTATAAGAGCTGCGCTAAGTAATGTATTCGTATTGCAGTTTAACCGGTTTCAGACAAATACGATCTTATCTTGTTTTGTAGACTATTGGGTGTATGTAAACGTCTGTCATCTAATAATATATTAAATAATTAGAAGTGAGCACGCTCATTAAAGGATTGAACATTTTCTAAATTATCAACTTAAAACTGAGTGTGCACAAAACAAATTTTAAAAAAAATCATTGATAAATTCAAAATTGTGTTAGACTATAATTGTGCTCTCGCGTTTTTAATATTTGTAATAAAACAGTCGAAAGCTAATTTTGATCTTAATTGCTGCTAATCAAATAATTCGGAGGTGGTTATGAAATTCAAGTAGGGGTTTGATTTGGGGGAAATTAAAAAAAAAAACCAAAAAAAAAAAAACATTTTGGTGTAGCCACAGAGCAAAAAACGTTCGTATAGTCCCAAAAGTGCCCATATCAAATGTTTCATAATAACCAAAAGTGGTGCCGCGACGCACCCTCGCCCCCCCCCCTCCCAATTTTCTTTTCTCCAAGTGTCGGCTGATGTTGCAGATGGCGCTTTCATCCCCTTAAAACTATAGCAGACGCGAGGAGATTTTTTTTTGGCCTTAGTATTACTTTGAGTTGTTCTGTCCTCTTATGTTAATCATTTTCAGAGGCGTAGCAAGGGCATTCTTATGGGGGGGGTGCAATGCAGGCAAATACATGCAAGCGTGTACGTGTTCTACATAACCCCCGAGGACAGACACACAAAGGGAGAAGAAAGGATACTTTCATTCCTCGGGCTTTGGGTCTTTTGTTTTTGCCTCTGTGGTAGGTTTGTGTGCTTAGTCCATGGAAGTGTGTTATATTAAAGGAACAAAAGGAAACACAAAGCATTGTCCTCGGGAGTATAGTAATTCAGGAGTGGGTGTGTTTTTGTGTGTGTGGGGGGGGTCTCTGGTACCATATTCAATATCGGACAATAGGTGGCGCCTTTCAGGACGGCAACATTGCCAACCGTCGTGCGAAGTTTTTAAAAAGTCACTTGTAAAAGGCCGCTGGTAAAAAATGGTGCTTGATAAAAAACAACAACACTTTTTAATAGGTAAGATGTTTAACAAAAAGGCCCATAAATTATAACAAAATGTAGGGCCTACAACTACAAGTTTTACTAGCCCTGTTGTTGATTTTAATGGCTTTACTTTGCAACTTTTAAATATATGCAATGGGTAACCTAGCAAAACTATGTCATTTACTGATTACATACACCGTATTATATTGTATTATATCTGAATAGAACATCTCAATTTCATGGCTATGCTTACCATGGAATTCCACGCTTACAATATCGCCATTGTATTGTATGTTATTGTGCTAACCGCAATAACATATATGCGAACCCTGTAAGTATAGAATCCTTAGTTAAGGGATGTACGCATTGGAAGAAGCCAACACTCCTCGCTAATCCATTAAATACGCTTAGCTATAAGCATTGTCTGCAATCGTAAGCGGGATTTTTCGCTAACGGTTAGTTTAAACCGAGCCAAACAATCGGGCCCAGGTCTGAAATAAAAAACACACCTTCATTTCTCATTTGTTTAATTTCAATTATGTGTTTCTCGGTGACATAGGTAACTACAGATAGTATAAGTAGGGGAGCTTTCTTCAGTTGAAAACTAAATTGTTTTTGGACTTTATTTTTTTGAGAAGAATTCTTCAGTGTCATAAATAAAAAAAAACACAAAACCAATACATATGTTTTCCTTCTCCAGGTGTTTAGGTGAGATGAAAACATGAGATCCGGGTTTTCATTCTCTTAATATACATAGATAGAAAACCCCAACATCGAAGTATTATAGTACGATAGCTGGATTGGCTTAACATGATGATGCCGAAGGTCCCTGGATCGATTCAGCGCTGCGACATATTTTTTTTATTTGTTATTGTTTTTTGTTCTAAATTGTAGTTTTCTTTACTGTATTTGTTTAATTTTATTTCTTTCTGGTAATGAAACCAAGGATTCCTCAAAAGCCGAAAGCCTGAAGAAATCTGTCGAGATAAGACAATGAGAAGAAATTACAGTTTTAGAGGTGGGAGGAAAAGCCCAGAGGAATATTCTGAGGAAAACCCAAGGAATCAGGTAGGGACTGAAAACCCAATCCACATATTGACCCGGGCGGGATTGGAACTCGGGTCACAGCGGTGGAAGGCGGGGAAAGTACCGCTAACATAATGCAAAGGAAACATACATATTACATAATGAGCTAATCATGGTCATTCACGACATCTCTCTCGTATTATCTCCGGCAGTCATAAACCTGCCACCAGCAAAACCGTTGCTTGGATGTCAATGACAAGTTTGCTTTATGACTAGGCGCCTCTAAGTCAAAAAGTCAATATTTAGTTTAAAGATTACCCCGCACAGAAACAATTGCAGAGATCGACAATACAACTTGAAGCCGGTAGATACTAGATAATATATACATTTTTTCTTATCAGAACAAATGCCATGCATGATTTGATGGATTTTGCCATAACAGCCTAATGCAGTAACACTTCACTGTACACAGTTGAAAAGAGACTTTGCTGGGCGTTAGATCACTCTTAAGCTCAGCATCGTAAGCCCGGTAATGGCCCGATTTCCCTTTATTTCAGCAGTCTTTGTATTGCTTTTGGTGACCAATGTCCGCCGTGGGTTATGCACGGTGCAAGACAAGAGAATCCTTCCCGGTTCCTCTGATGCATTGATCAACTTGCCGGAGTTTCGTCAAACCCACTATGTCTCGAATGGTGCCCGCGTCCCATCAGATGTTATGGCGGAACTTGGTGTTAACCAGCTTTTATCCGCTGCCGACTTGCAGACCGGCTTCTTCCAGAAGGTCCGGGAATTCCTGGGCTCAGTGGTCGACCATGCCGGAGCAGAAAGCACCCCGGCTTTGGACATGCCCAGACTGCGGCAAGATGGCCTGAAACTGCTGCAGGACCTTGAATTGTGGGACCCACAGGAACCAGGCCAGATCGACTTGGAGGAGATGGCGGAGGCAGTAGGCAAGGAGATGCGGCAGTTTGTCGGTATCCAGGCCTGGAGGAATGTGTCTGCCAACTGCCTCAACAACACGCTGCAGTTCTTCGATGATGCCAGCACAGGTCTCCCATACGCCCGTCAAAGTGAGTATGAGAGAAAGTATTTGACTAAGGCGGGGGTGACATTTTTTTTTTCTTTTTAAGATCGATGCAGAATAAGGGAACCTCGATTGCGATAAATCAAACGAAGACATTCTTAAAATAAAAATGCACACTGTCTTGGCCACAGCAACACATGGTGAAAGGATATGCTGTGCACTTCATTGATACATTAATGGAAATTGTCGCGGCCAATTCAGATTTGTTTTTAAACCAATGAACAAAAGATCTACTTGTACTCATTTTTTGTTCAATGAACGGGCCAGTTTTATGAAAGAGTCGCGAAAAAGGTGAAGCTCCATTCAGGAGTCATATTGTATTCGTTCATGCATACGAGCGATGAACAAAACACCAGTCAAGCTAGCCTCCATACGCCGGCTACTCGGGCCTCCCGCGATATTGAAGATATAAATCTCATTGCAAACTAGAGCCACATTCCGGTCCAATATTACAGAAATACAATTCCAAAACAGCTGGCTGCTTTCATTGCTATGAATCTGGCTGCAGGGGCCACAGATTAATATACACATCGCTCTGTTATTGTTGCCTGCATCGTCTTTGGCGAGTCGGAACCTATTGTTAATACTGGCCTGCAAACAAAAGACTGTACATTTTGTCATGATCATATTATAAGGATGTGGCGTTACTGAGGCGAAATAAAGACTCACAATAAATTGAGTCAGAGTTCCCCCCCCCCGAACAAAATAAATAAATAAATAAATAAATAAGTAAATAAATAAATAAATGTTAAATCTGTTGAAGCCGACCGCCATAGATGAAGCATAGATTATTTTTCTTATACCAAGTTTATCTTTGAGAGCGCCCTCCACATTATAAATTTGACGCGCTGTGGGAGATATGTAAGAGACCAGTAGAAATGGTGCGGGTACGAGATACAAATGGCTAGTAAAAACTTGCTGTTTATATCAGGAGTTTACCAAATCCACATATAAAACATTCAACATTTTGACATGAATTGCACATTGCCTATAATGTGCCAGATGAAATATCCAAACAAAATGGTGATTAACCCTAAGACCCTTGGCATTTTTTGCTAGGATGCAACTTCAATCCTGCAAAATCTCCATGTAAAAAAATAATACAGCCATAATTCTCAAAACTCCTCCTTTGTTTCTTGAATGTGGTCCGTGAGGGGTGACCACTGCCTCAAGCCTGAAAAATCCCCCAGCAATTACCGTCAATGTATGTTCAGGCAGAGCCATGTGACATCCTGGAGCAGTGCGGAAGATTTAAAGTACAATCTAGACCTAAATGTACGCACGTCTGAGCATAAACAGAATGAGGTCCGGCCCAAGACCTTGACGAGGTACATCCTCCAAATTTAGCCACACATTTTGTGCACAAACTGATATAGCCTCAATCCTGCAAAATCCTATGGGAAGGCCATAGCAGTTAACCTTTCCAAGCCGCATACGTATAGCGCACCAGGGTGAATACAAAAAAAATGTAATCCAAAATAATCGATTAATACGAAAAATTTAGAAAATGATTGACCGTCAAACTGTTTCCATCTTAAAGGGTACTTCAATAGCAGTAGCGTATCCAGCTTTTGATGGGTGGGGGGGGGGGGGGGGGCAAATCCGAACCGAAATGTAGACATGTTTGGGTGTTTTGTTCTCCGGCACTTGGCCGCCGTAAAATTTAAAAAAAAAACGGGGGGAGGGCGGCTAGTACCCATCTTCTAATTCCAAATGGGGGCGCTCTTCAAAAGTGATAATTATTAGGCATACTGGAAAATATATGCCGAGTTTCACTGCGCATTGTAATGTTTTCTTTGTTGGCTGGTTTTCTTGTTTGGGCTTGATGTCAGAACTTTCTGACCATTTATGGAAATATTTACTGAAGTACTTACTGAAGCAATATTTAAAAAAAAAATCCGCCGGGGATACCTACGCTAAGGTTCAATTGATACAGAAATATATTTTTTTAGTTATTGAAGACTGAGCACCATTATTTGCAAAACAAATGCAAATAAACCTGTTTGTTTCCAAGTTTGAAGTGGCGAGTTAAGCAGTCGGAAGAAGGCGCTGTCACTGTGGACATTGCGTAAAAAGGGTATGTCAGAGAATGTTGTTGCATAAAATGGTACTTAGAATGTTGGCCGTGAATGATTGATCATTCCAGAGATTGTATTTATCGCCTCAAAGCCAAACGTCTACTTTTTTCGAAGTTTACCTGATTCGGTGTCAAAAAAGGTGCGCAGTCGCAGTGGATTATGTGTTGAGTGTGAGGAAAGAAACAAGTTGAATGGGTTTCAGCATAACATTGAGTATCATGTTCCGTGATTTAATAAATCAATAATATATGGTCAACATAAGGTACCATTTTAAAGGGAAAATACAACAATTGCAAACATCAAAAAATAAAACTACCAAATCATTTTGAAATACCTTGCTGGACTGTTAGTGAATGAAAGTGTAAAGCATCCTGTAAAATCATGGCACCTGGTATACTGTCATTTTCAAGAAAAGTTGTATTTTTGTATCAATTTCCAACGCTGATCGGCCGACCAGCGTTGGAAAGAACTGGCTTTTTTTCAAATACTGGCCCCAGTTGACATCGCACTTGTTTGCAATCGATTACACACCTATGAACGGGTACAAGCCAGCTAGACTGGTTCCCTGACCTTACAATTCCCCAATGTATGTAAACTGCTCTGTTTCTTCTTAAATGGAGTCAGGGAACCAGACTACAGGAAAATGATTGTTTGTCTTGGTTTTTATAGCATTTTCGAACCCAAAACCTCAAAAAAGTCAGTGTAACTATATTTGCTATATATTTCCAACCCCCCAATTCCATCAATTTCTGAAAATTACAGCAAAAGCAAATGATGTATATTCCCTTTAAGCATCATCTCCTCCAACATTCCCTGTCCACAGCTGCGACAGCACATTCTGCTGACAGCAAACTCACCACATATATTTCAGTAAACTTGGAAAAAGAGCTTTTTTGGACTTCGTTTCGCAATCAATGGTGCTCAGTCATCTGTGAACGAAGATGTGCAATGAAGGTATTAATTGAAAGCTAATGAACTAACCTTTAAGACAAAACCACTTTGGCATTCTACAATTTCTAACCGTTATAAGCTTATATTAAACACTTATGTTTGGATTAGCGGTTTTGTTATTACACCCTGTACAATGGCCACTAATATTCTTACCCCCCCCCCCCGAAGTTGGATGTAGTTTTATACAATGTATGGATGCCACATTCGTTTTTACTAACTTGAAACGTATTGAACCACTAAATATTACAAAATCCCAACACGATTTGATTTCGCCACAGTGATAAGTTCCGATGGCGAATTGATTAACGTGGATTCAGTTCTCAACTTGAATCCTGTGAGTCTTGGTAATGTGGAGATGTGTCAGTCGGTCAAGCAGTGGAACCCAGACGCCCCGTACAAGACGCAGTACTGTAACCTCGCTTATACATTTGCTGTAAGTATATAATTATGGCTTTTTTGTATTTGTTTTGAAATAATTATTGTATATTTTCTTAACAGTCACAGATCAGATTCGACCAAACTCCAGAATGCTACGCCGCTGATTTTGACCAAGAAAGGTGTCAGTTTTAAAAGACAAGTTGTTATTTGGAAGCAATGGACTATCTGGACAAATCTGACCTGTTCTTCAGGTCACATGATAGCCTATACAATATAAAATATAATGGTCTTAGTGTTAGGTTGTGGTGAAAACCTGGCTTTGCATCTATATTCGTTTTTTTATAAAGTTTCAGCATCATTTGGGAGCAGATGTTGATTTCCTAACGTCACCATGTGGTGAAAGATTATAAACTTTGACCTCGGATTATGATAACATCTGATATACCCGGATATCAGGCCATTGACGAATTTTGAGTTCGAGTACCCCAAGTCAAGATGCCCATACAAGACCTATTTCAGACGTCGTGCTTATGCCGTGTCGAATAGAATTGAAATAAGCGCGACGATAACACGGCATAAGCGCGGCAGTAGAACGTTGAACTTCATTACAAAGTCGAATTCAAATACATCCAACATGGCGGACCAACGACAAACAAATATGATTTGTGCTCTTAATCAATGCAAGCTGCATGGAGAAAACGATCTTTGCTTTAGCAGGTACTACTTTAATAATCAAGTACTTATTCCTTGATGAAAGTTACACTGGTGTGCTTTATTGTAGTCCTTTTGTTGTCAAGGCCCGATGAGAACGTTACGCTAATTCCTCTTCTGCCTATGGATGCACCGCTGTATTAAAATTCCCATAGATACCAATGCTAAATGCCCATACTTCAAATTATTATTGTTTTCAAAAAATGCTCACCCCAAAAAAGACGACCCCTATTTTTCCCAAAGCGGAACAGTATATCTTAAAAACGATCCCCATACATCATCATATGGCAAAATAGCGTCGCTTTCGAGCCAAATTGCATCAAACATGCTCAGAATTGAAAGCCTTAAGTCCGGGCCAGAGGTTCATTGCCCCTTCAATTCCCCAATTTCATGGCTCTCAGAACTCTCTTATATGGAATATTTTGCGGGCATAACCTTAATTCATGAGCTCGGCGGATGAGTTTAGGCCTATTTACAGGTGTGCAGCCCTTTGATTCTTGAAAATGTTCCACGTATTCACCGTATTTAGTGATGCGTTTATAAGTTATTTCTTTAATCGCGCACACGTTGCAAGCATGCATATTCCTACTTACGAACGATGTTCACAGCAGTAGTACGGCGCGCGGTTTCAAACGTCGTGCCAGTGCCGTGTCGAATACGATTTCAATTCGAATTTGGCCGCCCAAATTCGAATTGAAATTATATTCTACACGGCATTTCCACGACGTTTGAAACCGCGCCGTTCTACTGCCGTACTAAGTGGATGAGCACGGAAGACCGTTTGACGCAGGCTGGGCCTGTTTCAAACGTCGTGCCTGTGCCGTGTCGAATAAACAAAATTCAAGTTTATTTCTATTCGACACGGCATAAGCACGACGTCTGAAACAGGCCTAGCCTGCGTCAAACGTCGTGCTTCTGCCGTGTCGAACTCAAATACTGACAAAACTTTCTATTAAATACGGCGGTAGCACGACGTTTGACACCAACGTATTGATTAAGTTCGACTCTGCCGTGTAGCACGACATGCTCTGTCTTGCTACACGGCAGTAACACGTAAGGGCTATGAAGTAAAAGGTTCTTCCTGCACATGGAGTGGTTTTTGTTTTGTTTTATGATGGTTGTCTTTTATTCCTCAGCCCGACGTTTACCTTAGCCCTGTCATTGGTCTATGCTTTCCCGCTAACTGCACAGTAGATGATCTCCAACATCTATTTCAACCTGTTCAAGGTATGTATATGTTTATTTTATCGTCCCTGTGTATATACCCGAGTACCTCTTTTGATATCATTTAAATTATTGAAAACTGTTGCTGTGACATTTTGATATTTTATTTAAAGGGCCCCTGCAATGTATTTTTAAGGCAATGCTGAAAATGCACCATTGTGTTATGTTCCATTTAATAGTATTTTCAAATGTCGTTTTTCCATTTTCAAGGGTATTTCAGTGTCTTTTGTGTTTTTTGTATGCTGATGTAGATTTCTATACTAATGAACAAAGTGTGATGCCATTGCAAGCAGAGATTTACTAGTGAAGCTGAGAAATGCCCCTTCGCAGTCAGTGTTCAGTGGTATCAACGCATGGTGTAACAAATGTAATTGCAAACACAGTAGCGTTTCGTGACGCGCCGTCCACTTTGTCATCAACTCCGTAATTAACACCCTCCGCCATGTTTGTTTACAACTTTTTGACACCGTTTTCGGTTCAGAGTTTTTGTGCACATGTGAACACTGTTTCTGATCATCATTTTGACGTCACAAACATGTTTCTGGTCACGGTCGCGAAAACACGTCCCAGCTAGTTACTGTACCTACATTTAAATGTGCATTAATTTGAGATATACAGTAGGTCAACCTAAACAAAGAAAAGAAAAAAAAAAGAAACATACAAACATACATTCTCTCTTCTTTTGTATTTGCTGGTTATAGTTATTGGACTATACATAGATGTATCCTGCTTGGGGCCGTACCCGTGGGAACCGTGGGCAATAGTCACAGTGTAAGTATTGATATCTGTTTTTACAAATTACTCTGTACGCGAAGTAATTCCTTAGATTCGACATCGGGCCTGGAAGGGGTATTCGGGTATTCTCAGGACTGGGGGACACATTGTATGTCCGCACCATCCTCAATTTATATGACGTTATCTGGTCGCACTCCAGCGACCACACGAGGGCGCTTTGTTAAAATTGTGCCCATTATGGTCAGTTTTTTTTGTAATTCTCCTTTTGTTATTTAAATGATTTCAATTTGTGTAAAAACATTCTTTGGTTAAATATTCATCCAACCAAATAACCTTTCGGCTCCAACATATCACAAGAGGGCGCTCAACTCTTTTTTTTTTTTCGTGCAAAAAAAAAATAAAACATTTTTTTTGTGCTGAATATTGTGCTGAAAAGATGAAAGTTGAAAGTGTTTTTTTTACTCCAATAGCGGTGATATTGGATTCTGAGCAGCCTTGTATTTTGTCCCATGACCATGAAGTTCAGCGATTATTATATATTTGTGGCCTTATACTTCTTACAGGTAATTAACACCATTTGCAAATATTCACAAATTGAACCAAAATGAAATATTCTACTTGATATTTAGTACATATTAGGATTAAGCACCATATGAACTAACTGCTCCTAATTATGGTATGCTGTTAATTTTCCACAACAGAGGAATGACCATTATTTCTTCGCGATGGTAATGACCCAACTACCAAACAAAAGCCACTTGTTTTGTAACATGACAGAACTGTGTTTAGTTTGCAAGCGGTGCTGACTTTTTTTTTTTGGAAGATAATTATTTTTTTCCGAGTGACAAACTAGGATCATACGACAACAAGATGCAAGTCAAACGTATTAATGAACATTTTGGAAGGAAGAGCTCGCGTCGAGAAAAATGAAGATGCATTGGCTCAGTTATCTTACAATGCATATCTACTGAGCTGAATGTTGTTTTCTGAGTGTTTACAGTTGAGTCTTTTTTCTTTACTAACCTGCTTTAGATTTATTTTATTGTTCCTTGAATCGGCAAAATGCACTTTTGGAAATGGTGTCCACTTCCTTTAAAAACAAATCTGAGTCGACGTTTCGCGCATAGTGCAACCATTAGAAAAGGCCGCTTTACACAAGAGTGTTTCCATTCATTACAAAAGGGGGGGGGGGGAGGTACGCAGCTGCAAAGACACATAAAATAATGTGCAACTTGTAATTGATATGAGCTATTTGCAACTCAGCAAAACCAATGCAGATTACTCCTACAATTACTAACAATTAACTGCAAATCAACCGTTATATAGAAATGATTAGTACTCCGTTTCCGTTTTTAGATGTATTTTGTGCTTTTTCCTGTTGCTGGTAACCATGGGAACGGTTTACCACGTCATGATTCATCAAAGAATCCAGGCCAGTATGACCAAAGTAACGGCCTGTGTGGAGGAGAGAGTCGAAGGACAATCGGACGAAAATTCTATTCAAAAGGTACGACATATAATTCTGAAAATTGAAGCAAAAGAAGACCGATGTCACGTGCGCTTATAGACCATTCCAGAGGCCCCCTGCAATGGTGAGAGTATTGTGCCAGCTGTTCTACAAAGCAACTGCCCACGGCGCATTCTCTGCACAACAAAACATGCACAGTGCTCTTGCCATTTAAGGGGGCGCCATTATGGATGAGTGTACAGTTTTAGCGCGCTTCCCAGGTCTATCCATTCAGAAAACATAAAAAGAGATTCATAAATCGTAATTGTCTTTTGTTTCTTATATAAGTCGCAATGATCATGCCTCAACCAATATCCAACACCACGCTTATCAGAAATCTACAAACAGCTTCATGGTTAGTTTTGGGTCATTACAACAAAACGAATATTTAAAAACAATGAACAGCAGATTTCAGGAAACATTATACAGTGGCATATAACTCCATTTGCGCCACGAATGATTGTGTAAGGTGAGCAACCTTTCACGCGGCGCAACATTTCAGTTATGACACATTTCACGAAAGTGCTTTAATAGTGAGTAAGTCGCGATTTGCCCAACAAATCAAGGTGTAAGTTATGGCGAAGCGACTGAAAAAGAAACTACTTTACTGGCAGTTCGTGATCGTCGTACAGCTGTAAAGGGTTGATACAAAACACTCAAATGTTTGGTATTACAGACAGAGCTAAACAACAGGTGATACTCAGACTAAGATAGCCCGTGATGCCGGGAAAGCTCTGAATGTATATACGTTTCTTGGTCGTTGGACTTTGTGCATATTTTGACTGACACCGGTGCCTGCAAACCATGCCATTATGTTGGACTTATGAGGCGTCGGACTTATGAGGCGTCGGACTTATGGATAGAAATAAAAGTACATTTAATTGTCGGACTTATGAGGCGTCGGAGCTATGGGGCGTCGGAGCTACGAGGCGTCGGACTTTTAAGGCGTCGGACTTATGAGCTTTTATTTGGTTCGGGGATGCCATTTTGTCGGACTTATGAGGCGTAGAACCTATGAGGCGTCGGGCTTTTGCGCGGACCCCTTTAAAACTACGCACAGCTTCGTGAAATCGGCTGCACATCACAACATCTATGTGAAAAGGTCGATTTAATGTATAAGGTGCGTAACTATAGAGTACCGAAGTGAATACATCACGCGTACAATGTGTGTGTAAAAGACATTTGTGCGTGATTCAGCCCGTGAACCATGCCGTGAACCAACACGTGCGCGTACTCCGTTCGTTTGCACTACACCTGCCGGTTCTAAATGACGTCACACTTCGGTAGTCTATAAAGAGGACGGGGTTCCAGTATGCCCCAGGTGTGTTCTCAGCATGCCTATAAAATATCCCTTTGCACAGTAAGGACCTACATGGGAGAGGATTCGGTGTTTAATTATGCAAAACAAGACTGCGTCTTCTTGGGGATCCTGACCATTCATCGGGCGCCTTCTCTATCGTGTCTTGGTAACCAGTTGTTCTATTACAAAAACATGGCTCCAAATTGATGAATTGACAGGTTAGTCGACATTTCTGATCAAAATGACGTCAGAGTTTTTAAAGTCGACTCCCATTGACTGGTGCACTGCGTCGCATAAGATTCGCATTTTAGAATATATCACACATTCGACCGTGGCTGTTAACCCGTGAATGTCTGATCCTAAGACTAGGTGTGCCCCCACCCTTCCGCTCAGAATCATAACTCTTGAAAATATGATCATCCATCGATTGATTCTGAACTTCCACTTTTGACGTCAACGCGTCTATGTTTCCCTGTAACCTACCCCGAACATCGGTTAACAATAGTTGGCTGGCCCTCTGGGACTATGGCAAAATTAACAATGACACATTATTTTTCCTCATTTAAATTTTCTAGGTAGACATAGAGCTTCAGTACAGCGGCAGCGAGACGGCAAGTGTCGTTGTGAAGAAAGACTTGGAAGCTAATGGCCATGCAGCTCACCACAACAACGGGTTCGTCGACAATGAGGGCAATGCTGCTGACTCGAAGGAGACCAGCTCTCACTCCCAGATTATTCGCTCACATGACAAAGCAGCCAAGCAAAAGATGAAGATATTTGGTAGGCTAAAATGAACCCTCAAAACTTGCAATAAACAATTTGTTTCTCTCCGTTCTTTGTAATAAAGCGTCACCGACACCACGAAGTAACACTCTCCCGTGTTAAAGCATATTTTTTTTTCGATTTTCAGTTTTTTGGATTTTTAAACATTATTCATCAAGGCCTACCATTGCACGAAGTTTCAAAGCTTCAAGAGCTTTACTTTAATAATTACGCTAAGTATCCATGGCAACTTTTGCGCAAAAGTGACAATTTTCGTTTTCACGAAGTAACACTCAAGTTCCATTTTCCATTGCAATGCATGGCGCGCACTCTGCTCACAAGTGAGCAAAAACGTTTCCACGAAGTAACACTCTTCTTGTAACAAGTTGTATGAGCGCGCGCGCGCTGACCTGAAGTTGCACTTTCCTCGTGTTAAATACATTGAAGAGTGTTATTTCGTGAAAACGAAAATTTACAGTTTCGCAGCTTTTTCGGTTTCACGAACTAACACTCATCTTTTTTCTCCTATTTCTTGTTTATTTAATACACAAAACGAGTGAAAAACAGCAGATTTAATAAATTCAATTCATCAAGTGTTCACAACGAGAAACCCAACTGAAAATACTCTGTTGTTTTGACGCAAAGTGTTGTTTTAGAAGGCGTTCAACTTTAGTTGCCGTTTTCTCCGATTGCTAGTTTTTACTGGTATGTAGATGGGTGTTACTTCGTGGTGTCGGTGACAAAAGGTTCTCTGCTATTTTAAAAGATGTTTCATATTTGAATTTACCAACTCTATCATTCAATTTGGTCCACGAAACATTCCACACGCTTTTAACAAAACCAATTTAGACAATTAACATTCAGTTTGAAAGTTTGGTCACCCTATTTTAAAAGTCACCGGAATATTCGTCATTACAGATCAAACGTGTTTAAGCTGTTGCCGAATGGCAGCATTCAGAGTTCGAATTCGTCTTATTTAAATCGTCGGTTGCACCACGAACCGACGTATCGCATTTGTGTGTGTTTCGAAAAAAAACGATTTAAAGTTGGTCATTATTTTGTAGGCTCATTCCATATACTCCATGTGTAAGAATTCCAGCTGTTTCGTTTTGGCTAGTAAATTATAGATTTAACTTTATTGTATGCAATCCGTGTGCATCTGAGTTGCTTAGTTTTTGAGAAATTCAGTTCCAAAGTTATTCGTCACATCGTGAAACAGATTTTTCTCATGTTTATCGTATGTCATACAACGCGCGTAATAGTGGCCGTGTGCCAGTTACGGAGATACGTCGGTTCGTGAAACGCTAAATTCCAATTGTTCATGTCAACGCTCCTTTGTGACGTCATAGCACTATGGAAATTAGCATGTAAAGCGGCGTATCGGGATACGCCACTTCGTGGTGCAGCATTTTTCATTTTTTTAGAGATACGCCGCACAATCTAATTAGCGTTCTTAGTTAATAAGACCTGATTGGAATAAAACTTTCTGAGAATTAGCACTTTGATGAAATAATAACGTTAATGACAAAAACTCAATTTGGCAAAAAATCGAGATACGCCGGTTCGTGGTGCGACCGACGAAATAGATTAGACGAATTTGATGCCTAGATAACAAGGTTTAGCGTAAACGAGACAAAATCGAATAATCCGGGCCTAAAACATGTGCTTATTGTTTTAATTTGCTTGAAATGAATTTGAAATTGTCAGACAAAAGACAACATTCCACTTTGAATATATGCGCACTATATCGATGTTGATGGACGAATTAAAAATCCAGAATCGAACACCAAATACAAAGAAGAAAAAACAAACAAACAGCAGACTATGCATTCGTGTAAAAACATTCAGACTATGCTGGTCTCATTTAACAGCCGTTCTAATTTCTGTACAGGACTTCTAGACAATATCATGATGGGCTTTTCGTCCATCCACAACGGCTCGAAGATTTTGAACACGGAACCGACGGCTGGAAATCTTGGCGTTCTGAACGGCATCCGCGTCATCAGCATGTGGTGGATTATTCTCGGTCACACGGTGTCTTTCATGGGCGGTTATGTCGGTGAGTCCGTTAAGATTGCCTGAACAAGTCATTAGTGCTTGATTAGGAAAACAATCAAACTTTACAGCTATTAGGGTAATTCCCTACGTTAAAATATGTTGACTCTTATATTAATCTGAAATGAGTGAGGGACAGACGCTTAATGATCTCAAATATTTTCTGAGCTCATCCAAGATGTTTTTACTGTAGCGGGATCCTACTGGGCTCTTGTCCGCCAAATCCGGCCGAACGCAAGAAAAGGGGACACACAGACGGGATTTCTAACTCTGAAGAAAGATCTCATTTATTTCGCCAAGCGGATTCTGCGGGCAACCTGCTGCACCGCTACTAGAATTGCAACTGATCATCAATTCCCAGCATAGACATGCACACAGTCTGAACAAATGTATACAATTGTAGCAACTTTACCCAACCCTGGAATCAAACCAAGCCATACCCACGAAAGTGAACAAAAGAACCCCACTGAGCCAACCTATTTGTAGAGCCTATTTCCGGAGCGCGCGCTAGTCAGACCCAAACTAGGTCAGGTGCGCGCCGCCGGAGCCTCTCCGCCGTAGCGCTAGTGCTAGAAAGCAATGACAACAAAAACCGTGCATATACTGTCCGTTTCAATACTTTTGTATGGAGAAACTGTAAAAAAAAGAAACTTGGTTTTATAGTCAACTGTGTCAAAACAACTTCTTATTTTGTGGTGTTTTCAACAGGAAGCAGGGAGGGACGGGGAGGGGGAATCCCACTTGACTTCTTTTTGTTTCAAAACACAAGAACTCCTACCACTAGCAGTATACCCCCTCTGCGTCTTTGGTAGCAAACGGGGTATCAAAATTGAGCTTACAATCTTTTCAAGGGGTGTATAAACATTACATTATCATAAGACGATCAGATTCAAAATCATGATCCTTCCAATGAGTGTGGACTTTTTTTCACTGTTTTTGGTGTTCATTATCTTATACGTTTGCTGGGTACTTCCTGATTTAAATGCTTCAAATTCTTTAAAATCCTGATCTTACCACGAGTCCTGCGTATTTCTGTTTTCCCTTTCAGATAACATGAGTTACGCGGCTAGTACGATGCCCAAGTCGTTCTTGTTCTCGGCTGTCGCCAATGCGAACCTTTCCGTCGATACCTTTTTCTTCCTAAGGTGTGGTACTAGAAAACAAAATGTTGTCCTTTTTTACGCTTTTATGAAAGGAATCATTAAAACGTTAACTAACCAAAATGAGCATTTTACGGAAAGTGTGTTAGGGGTTTTTGTGGATCCAAAATTGACTTCCAGATATTGACCAATCAGCGGGCGCCTTTTGTATCGGGTATTCGGTAACCCGTTAATAAAAAAAATACACCTTGGTAGCACAAATTGGCCAATCAACGGCACCGTCCACATTTCTGATCGAAAAGACGTCACAAAAGTCTACGGAGAGGGTACAACTTGACCCTTTTTTTATTGTTAAAGTATACCTTTAAACTTTTGGCACAAAACAGTTGGATGAAAGTGGATATCTTACATTTTGGTATTTTAATATAGGTTTTCCCGGCTATATCAAAACATTTTTAGTCAGATTCACCAACTCTAACAATCAGTTTCGCCCGAGAATACTTTCACATGTTTTTTAACAAAACCAATTTAGTCAATTTATTCAATTTCAAATTTCGGTCACCCTTTTTAGTCATCGGGTCGAGAATATTCGTCATTACAGACAAATTCTTTTCAGCTGTTGCCGAATGGCAGCATTCAGAGATCAAATATGCCTTATATAAATTACTTAGACAAATTTGATTTCTGAATAACACGATTTGGCGCAGACGAGACGAAATCGAATACACTGGGTCGAAAACGTGTGCACATTGTTTGAATTTGTTTGGACTGAATTTGAAATTGTCCGACAAAAGACTAAATTAAGCATTGAAAGTGCACTAAATCGATGTTGCTGGACGAAATTGAATATAAGAATGGGTGAATGAAAACGAAAAATGTTTTAAAATAGCCGGGAAAACCTTTATTACACATCTTAATCATTATTCACTTCCTAGACAGAAATTGGAGTAAACAAGTTCACACATTGGGTGGCATATAATGACCACCCCTTTCAACGCGAATATGCAGGTGGTTTTGGGGCTTAGGCCTATTTGTTTATTTCACAACTTGAAAAACAACAATATTGTATTGGTGATTGTGACATTGTTCACGCAGTAAAGAGCACGTTCCTAAAACTGTACATGTGTCATATGCGTAATTGATATTACGCATATGTATCTAACATGCATTTGTACTCATGAACACTGATAATATGGGTTTTCCCGGCTATTTTAAAATATTACTTTTGATCTCACCGTTTCTAATATTCAAATTCGCCCATCAACATCGATTTAGTGCTCTTCCAAAGTTTAATTTCGTCTTTTGTCAGACAATTTCAAAATCAGTTCAAGCAAATTCAAACAATGAGCACACGAGTCCGGTTTTCGTCCTGGAGTATTCAATTTCGTCTCGTCTATGCCAGACCTTGTTATTCAGAAATCAAATTCGTGTAATTGATTTATGTGAGACGAGTTTGATCTCTAAATAATGTCATTCGGCAACAGATTAGACGAATTTGATCTGTAATGACGAATATTCTCGACTCGGTGACGAAATAGGGTGACCAAACTTTAAAATTGAGTAGTGAATGACTAAATTGGTTTCGGTAAAAGCGTGTGAAATTTTTCTGGAACAAAATTGAATGTTAGAGTTGGTGAATTCGAATGATAAACGTTTTAAAATAACCGGGAAAACCTATGTGCGCTTTAAGGCGGAGTTAGAAAGCAGTAGTTTTGCATCGGCCTAAGGAAACCCTATTTGCTTTAATTGTGTAAATATATCAATACCAGTGAATGCCCTATAGCTGAGACACCTACAACACGTAGGGTCTATTGTCTCAACCGCATGATGGTTCAGCTGATCTTCTCTCCGTACTCCATATGGTGGGTGAGTTGAACAAGACTGTTAACAGGAATAAGTAACCTGTATTTGAGGAAAAACTGATGTCAAAAGATTGATGTCAAAACAGCGTTCTTATGCAAGCTAGGCACGAAAAATATACAGTCATATTTAACTGAAAAATGTCAAACTTGTATCCAGCTTTAGCATTGCCGAAGTTAACTGCCGCTCATTTCGAAGTGTAAATATACCATTGTTTCTTCCTTCGATACTAGCGGTCTCCTTCTGACATACCTGACGTTGAAACATCTCAAGAAAGCCAACGGTAGACTTAACTGGTTTCTCTTCTATCTCCATCGCTTCATTCGTATCACCCCGGCCTACATGGTGTCTGTGGCTATATTTGCTAGCCTAGCCATTCATTTCGGCCAGGGACCGGGCAAGAGGCGATTGTTCGAAGCTGCTGCCGACGCTTGCCGCAAAAACTGGTGGACCAATTTGCTGTACATCAACAACCTATATCCCTTCCCTGGCGAATTGGGTCAACAGGTAGCAAAAGTTTTTTTTTTCTCTGCAGCAAAATATAAATCACTCATAGTACGCATACGTCATTTCGTAAACGGAAAGGTTACAGGACTTCACTTCTTTAAAACAATTCCTCACAGCCATGAATTTGTAATGAAAGTTAAACAATAATAATACTAACTAGAGATTCGCGTTTGTTGTTACAAACGCAGAGTGGTCGGGTAGACAACTATTTTATGAAACACTGTCCAGTTAAGTTATGAATATTTTTTTATATAAAAACAAAGGATCTGGAAATTTAATCCTTTCCAGGACAATCAATAATTTTGTTTAAGCAATGCATCTTTAACGGTGGGATAAATTCCAGTAAACGTTCTACGTACACATACAAGTTATTTCGTGCTTGATCACATCATTAGTCAAAAACGGGAAGTGAATACTGATTTAGTTCGGAGTGGATGTTCATTGTGAAGTTAAATAACGTATGAACATTTGGAGAATATAAGGGGTCATTCAAAATGTTCGATGTTTTTAAATTTCGATGTTTTTATTTTTTTTTTCTCAAATTGTTTTTACCCACCCACCCACCCCAATTTTCGATCTTAAAATTTTGATTTGCCATTCAATAAAAAAACATAACGAATGTCCAGTTCAGTGACGGCGGAATGCAGGTGCTGTCCGTATACAGTACCTTTGCAACAACACGGCCCACTGGAATTCCCGTACATATAGGGAATCTACCTGGAAACACGTAAAACTTGTCAATTTAAAACGGTAATAAAAAGTTTCAGCTCGCTCTAAACAAAATTATTTAGAAAATTCAGTCGTTTTTGATAGAAAAACAAATCGAACTCTCAACTCGCGCTTTTTAGACGTGTGGCATGGGCGCTGCCATGTTCATTGCACGCAGATATATCATGCGCAATAATTGCGCATGCATGCACGTAGTCTTGAACACAAGTAGGTTTATTTCGTTGTCGCGACTCGTACGGGCAATATCTTTTTAATTGAAAAAAAAAGTGAATTTCGATCAACAAAAATTCCAATAAATTAATTTGACCCACCCACCCACAACAAAAATCGAAATTTAAAAACATCGAAAATTGTGAATGGCCCCTAAGTGTATGTATTCATAACACCTAACGTCCGCTTTAATGACGTCAGAGTATTTGGAAGCAAAAGATCAACATTTTAACGGTATCGTTATTTGGGCTTAGATATGCGACATGGATCAAATGATACAATTAAATAAAAATATGATCGTTGGCAGATTCTCATAGAAGTAACTTCCGGTCTGATGACGTTATCAATTTGAAACCTTGCCAATCAAAGAATATCAAGGGGCGATTTAGGAAAATTTGAACCTATGGTTTTAAAATTAAAGAAAACAAACATTCTTTATGTGCCGCTAGGGGGGCGCCCTTTCGGATGATGACGTCATCACACTTTTTTTGTGTCCTGACATTCCTCATTAAACAGTTTTATAATATATATATGTCTGCATTAAAATGCTTCCGCTTTTGAGCTTTATTGAGTTTTTATTGCACTTCCGGTAAGACCGGAAGAAAAGGTTAAGCGGTTTTGTGTCAGGGAACACGAACTGTTTCTCACAACATAGTTTACAACCTCACGAAAAAAAACCCGAACACGATACTCTATTTAGTTCAAAAGATATAACGCAAACTATTTTGTCAAAATTTCTCTTAAATCGCTTGTAATTTGATACCTGATGACGTCATGATGACGTAACAGCATGTATAACATCTACGTAACATGGTACAAGTTCACACAAGGTGTGTGATCACTTTATGTCTTCCTAGAGGCCGGAGTCTCCCTATTTTCGAAAACATAACGATAAGGTGTCTCCCTAATGGTACATTTATTAATATAATAGGTAAAGTAAGCAATTTGATATTGTACAGAGGTGAAGATTTTTTTTCTGACGGATTCAGTCCCACCGGCGTGATTTTCAAAGGCTTTTCTGTGTGTGTGTGTCTCATGTACAGTGCATGGGGTGGTCGTGGTATCTTGCTAATGACATGCAATTCTTCGTCATCAGCCCTGTCATCATCTACCTACTGTACAAGTAAGTTTATCCTCAAGCAAACTTGAAGCAAGCTGCAGTACGTAAAGGAACCAGACATGCTTGCGTCTCGAACGAATGCAAATGCACACACATTTTTGTTGCTCTAAAGTTCCATAGTACCAATGCAAGATTCCGAAGACGTACTTTACGGGCTGTGTGCTTGATGGTGCGGTGGTCCTGGAACGACATGTTAATATTGACCTGTTTAATGTAAACCTTGTAACCTCTTAATATTGACGTTGTACCTTCGCAATATGCACGTTGCACGTGGCTTAATATCGCACTTGGGAAGTTGTTCCTTCTTAACCCTAAAGGGGCCGGGGGGCGGAATCAGCCCCCCCCCCCCTCAACATGTTCTGTGATAGCCTCTAAAAAAAAATTGTCGCGACCCGAGCTGTTATGACTTTGTAGCCTCGAGCTTTGCGCATCTTTTGATACCAAAAACATAACAATCGGACCACGGGTTGCCGCGTAGCGAAAGATTTTCCGGCGCTACGCGCCGTCAAAACTGAATGTTCGCATATACGTCGTGTACACAGAGCAGAATTGCCATTCGTACATATATATAATTAATTAGCAATAATTCCAAAACCCTTTGACCTATAGTCATGAAATGTCTTGGGTACGTTTAGGAAGAGTTGCTCTATGCATGTGCCGAGTTTCAAAATTGTTCGTCACTCGATGGCCGAGATCTTAGGGGGGGGGAGGAATCCGCCCCCCCCCCTCCCCCGGCTGAGAGATGGTCAAAATAACCCGGCCCCTTTAGGGTTAATGTTTATGTTCCAACTTGTTAATATTCACGTTCGATCTTGTCAATGTACAGCATTGATCATGCTTGATGTCAACGTTGCACCTTGCTTCTTCGCAATATGAACCATGTTTCTTCGCATTGTGAACGTTTGACCTTGCATCTTGTTAATATCATTGTTGAACCGTCCTCCGCGTTTTAAGGTTCTGTCCGCCGATCACAAAAGAAGTTCAGTGTTCTCTCAGCAAAGCGAAAACAAATCACATAAGGATGGGTGTGAATTGAAAGAACGCACACTTTTTTTTTGAAAACGGTGGTTGTGTTGAAAACTACGTAACTTGAAAAGTACATAAGTGATGTAAATGATTTTTTGTATTAAATGAAAGCTTATGAATTGGGTTTTTATATACTAGATTTTGAAAGCGCTACATGCAGAACTTTACTAAAAACAATGGTCCCGACATTAAAGGGTTTCCTTTTTTTTACTCACCTATAAAGCTGCCTGTTAGCTGTTCGTATGATTGTTTTTGACATGAGGTCAATTTTGAACATTTTGGGTGCGTAGATACTCCGAAGCATCGGCCTCAACCCCAATGAGTTTCATTTGATTTCAGTGTGCACAGATGTCAATTGAGCACAATAACATGTTTGGACACTGTGGCCAAGTTCCTTGCCTTAATCAATGTCAGTGAAAGCTGTGAAAAATCCTGCATGTTGTGAGAAAAGGATAAGTGCATGGTTTGAGATTGGTATCACTTGTCCTTGAGCATAAAACTAGGCCTAGCCATGATGACTAATAGCCAGGTTAATGATTGCAATCCCAACTACAAGCCCTTTATACATCATGAAGGACTTTATACAGCTTACTTTTAATGTCCTGTAAATGAAAAACGCAAGGATTTTAGTCAAGTGTACACAAAATATTGTTTAGATCAATTGACTATTTAGCAGTGATGCGTAACTGCAATGACATTTACCTCATAGTTATAGAGGATGAAGTTAAGGCTTATGAGTATCTGCATTACCAAACATTTTTTAATTGACCTTAATATGGTTAAGTAGTTATTTCAAAAAAAATAGTTATTTCAAAAATATAGTCAGACGGACACTGTATATGGGATATAATGCATACACATGCAATGCGGTATAGAAATCAAGTGTTTACATCTCTTCAATTGATTTATAATTTACGCGAGTGTAAAGTGTTAATTGAAAATTGACTGATATATTACCGTCCGAATCTTACCTGTATATGATTTACATCCATTTTCCCTTAGAAATGCTAAGTGGGGAATGGGCTTGATAATGACACTGTGTCTTGCGTCTTTTGGCGTCACTGCATACATCGCTGCTTATTATGGGGCAGGAGTTGGTTTCTTTCCGTAAGTCACTCAATGTATTTACAAATTCATCTCCCACTAAGGCATGTTTCATCTGCACATAGACCCTGCAATTCAACGCCTGGTAATTGTTTGTTTAATGTGATTTTTTTCTCTCTTATTTTGGCTGAATTTAATCACAACGCTAATATTTCCTTTAATTTGAAATGGGCCCAGGAAATAGTAAAACAAGAAATAATGAGACACAAATCCAGTATCCTGAGATATTCAGAAGTTATATGAAAACGATATTGATGTTGTTGTTTTGTCAATACTAGTGATTATAACAACAACACTGTTGTTGTGTACGGAAGCACTGGAGTGGACATCATATACGGCAAGCCATATTGCCGAATACCAGCCTATTTGGTCGGCGTGGTGTTTGGATACATCTTCTACAAAGTGCAAGGGAGACCATTTAAAATGAGCAAGGTATTGTTCTCATAAGAAACCCAACCCAACCCATCCAAGCCCAACCCAAGCAGGTCCAAGCCCAACCCAACCAGGTCCAACCCAACCCAACCCAGCCCAACCCAACCCAACCCAGCCCAACCCAACCCAACCAAACCAAACCCAGCCCAACCCAACCCAACCCAACCCAACCCAACCCAACCCAACCCAAACCAACCCAGCCGAACCCAACCCAACCCAACCCAACCCAGCCCAACCCAGCCCAACCCAACCCAACCCAACCCAACCCAACCCAACCCAACCCAACCAAACCCAACCCAGCCCAGTCCATCCCAACCCAACCCAGCCCAACCCAACCCAACCCAACCCAACCCAACCCAACCCAACCCAACCCAACCCAGCCCAGTCCAACCCAACCCAACCCAGCCCAGCCCAGTCCAACCCAACCCAACCCTCCCCAACCCAACCCAACCCAACCCAACCCAACCCAACCCAGCCCAGTCCAACCCAACCCAACCCTGCCCAACCCAACCCTACCAAGCCCAACCCAACCCAACCCAGCCCAATCCAACCCAACCCAACCCAGCCCAGCCCAGTCCAACCCAACCCAACCCAGCCCAGCCCAGCCCAACCCAACCCTACATAGCCCAACCCAACCCTACCCAACCCAACCCAACCCAACCCAACCCAACCCAACCCATCCGAACGCAACTAAACCTAACCCAGTCTAGCCCAACACACCCAGCCCAACCCAACCCTACCGAGCCTAGCCCAACCCAACATACCCCATCCGAACCCGGCCTAGCTCAGCCCAGCGAAACCCAACCCAATTCAACCTCACCCGACCCAGCCAAACTTAAACCAGCCTAGCTCAACACACCCAACCCAACCCAACCGAGCCCGCCCTACCTCGGCCCAGCTAAACCCAACCCAACCCGAACCTACCCAACCAAGAATGCATTTGGCTGCAATTGGAGATCTTATATTGTCCATATTTTGTTTGTAGTTGTACTAACTATTGAAGAAGACCTACAATATATATTTGTACACGAATCCAAATTGGGGACCTCTCGGGAAATGGGGACTCTATTGTCCTATATTTTTCAATGTCCCCTTTTGAATGCAGTAACAATTACAATCCCCAGTTGTCCCTGTTTCGATGGTACCACTAGCTTTTCGGGAAGACTTCCCATATGTTTTGTGCAGGAATCGAAATTGGGGACCTCTTGGGAATTGGGGGCCCAATTGTTCTCTATTTTTCTCAAACGACCCATATTGAATTCAGAAACAAACTCAACCCTCACTAGCCCAACCCAAACCAACCCAACCTAGGTGTATTTACCTGCAATCGTGGACCCTAATGTCCTCGAATATGCAAAAACAATTTCAACCCTACCTGACCTAGCCTTTACCAATCAAACTGTTTTCGGTTTGTTCTGTTTCCCTGCAGTGTCTTAACCTATTCATGTGGTTTCTGTCTACGGCTGTTGGCCTGTCAGTCGTGTATGGAATTTACAGAGAGGAATTAATAGGATCATTTCCGCTGTATGCTGCAGTGCTCTACAACGTGTTCGCCCGACCAGCGTTTGTAACGGCCGTCGGATGGGTTTCATTCTCTTGCTTGGTAGGCTATGGAGGTAAGCCGAATAGATTGACTTTGTTTCTTATAAATGCCTGTGGTAGACTGTTTCCTATTCAACCTTATTTTTAATTTTTTTTTTTTACATTTTCAAAGGTATTTTAGTGCCTTTTGGTTTTAATGCTACAATGCAAATGTCCATATTCATAGTAGCCAGAAACCTTCCTGATGTATTTTTTGTGTGCACAACAAGTTCCCAGAATGTTGGATATTTGCTGTTATTTTTTGTTTCCTTTTTTTTTGGTGGTTCGTTGTTTTGTTAGCACGTGTCAGAGAGCCACTGCACAAACCTTGCTCACAAACGTTATCAATGAGCAGATGTTTGGTTCACATTGTTTTGTACACAAAAGCCCTTAACGGAACATTGTCAAAAATGCATAGACACGTTTAGGTGCTTAAAGACGTGCATTGGGAAATAATATCAACCAAAATGGATATCAAATTGTTTTCATACATACAGATTTAGAAAGTTACCTAAAATGTGTTTCTAAGAATACTAATCATTCCATAAACACTCGAATGGTGCGTTGACACGTTTCTTAGTCACTTTTCGGGCCCTATTCTTAGTCAAACGAATGTTTTTTCCAAGGTAACACTTTAAAACGAAGTCAAGGAACATCTCATAATACTTTTTAAAAATTGAGTAATCAAAAGGATTAACTGTAACCCAGTATCTCGTGATTATAAAACTATGTTATTTCTGAATTGTCCATGAGCTCAACAGTATCCTGTGAACCCTTCAACTTTTAATTCATTAATAGCCACAAACCGAAAAATACGGCTCTTTAATTCGTTACTGTGTATACAATCCACACATTTAACACGAAACTAACATTTAGGACATTTATAGTTAAACTTATTTGTTGATACTATTAAGTGCATACATAATTATGAGCAAATCCTTCCCCAATTACACGCTTAAAATGTATACATTTATACTGGGCAGGCACTTTTACTTGAATTTGGTATTTATGCTTCATTTGTATCAACAACTCCAAGTTTAATCAGTAACATTTCAAAAAAGTATCAATACTGTATTTGAACAAAACTGTTGCTGACGACAAATTTGTCCTTCTTCTCTTCCCCTTGCAGGACCCGTCAACGCCCTCCTGAGCTGGGGCTTCTGGGCCCCGTTGAGTCGCATCACCTTCGGTGCTTATCTCCTGCACCCCATCATTATCTACACCATTTACACGAGTGCCAAGGCTCTGTATCACTTTACCTACATGCAATGGGTAATCATTTCTCTATCTTTTAGCGCTATATTGCACTTTTGATATAGAGCGCCCAACCAGAAGCTCATTTGTTTTATTTCGGCGCTAGTATTATAAGTATTAGTGTAACATATAGATTTAGATATAGTCTTTGGGATGTTTGACTCCCCTTATATGTTAGAATACTTTAGCTGTGGCTAAGAGCGGAATGAACGATGACTATAAAGAATGCAAAGAGACACTGGTAATAACTATGAGCTCAGCTTTATGGAAAACTATTTATTTTTCAAGAACTCAATATTCTATCGGTATTGTGAAAGCACAGAACTATAACCGCAGGCCATGAGGCTGAAACAGCTTATGGGTATTGTTGGGCACCAGAATACAGAATTTGGAGTAAGAAGACAGAGCTTCTGAAAAGTTGAATGAAGTGGGAAAATGGGGACCTTTTGTACAATTTCTGAGGGGCAACTTTGAGTGAAAAGAGGAGATTATGTCATATAAGGAAAACACAACTTATATGACATCATTTCTGAGTAAAGGTAGACTGACCATGGACTGACGTAATGGTCAGCCTAGGGGATAACCCTTATGAGGTCATTTTGAGGATAGTACACATTTCGGTCTTACATTAGTATTATTTAATCATATATTAATGCCTGATCTAATAATGAGGGTTAAATCGAACTTGTTTACGCCTTTGATTCTTTCAAGTGTTCTTTCTAGATTAAGAACCTCAATCATGTCATACATTGCGAAAATTGAGTTATGAACGGTATATAATACACAAACTTGGCACATCCTCGAGTGTAACTTTTTTTTCCAAGTTGAAACAATTGAGGAAAAATCACAAATATGTTTGTGTTATAATTGTCTGTTTTACTTTCGAACATATTGAAACGTAAAGTCCTTGCTATGACTTTTAGCAAGTTTACTTCATCCTCTCTTTAACACCCAGCTATGTTATGGTACGTCCCTTTCGCAAGTTCTCGTAAACAAGTCCTTATATGGAAAGTAGGATTTTGAAATATGGACTCGTTGTTAGCTTTCATAGGACTCCTAATTTCACGTGACACTGGAAAAGTGTTTAAACCGGCCACGTTATGGGCTCTCGACAAATATAAATTGGTATTTATTATTGCTTCGTCAAACAGTGCTAATGTACAACTTTTTTCTGGCAGGTATGTTTGTTCCTAGCTAATCTGGTGTTAGCCTACGCAGCGGCCTTCGTGTTGTCCATCGGCGTGGAAGGCCCGGTTATGGCGCTGGAGAAAGCTCTACTCGGCGGAGGGGCGAGAAGCAAGAAGAACTAACGCACGGAGTTCGAACAACACAGCATTAGGGACGAAATTTGGAAATGTTGGCGGCAAATATAATGTTGTTATTAACCTAAATTACGTTCTGGTGCACTATACAAGCTTTTGGGTCAGATTTGATCGGAATTCGGGTCAAATTTTACCCAATACAGTTAAGGTGTCAAATAAGTGATAATGACATTTTTGCCAAGGTTTTCGGACAAGTGTAATTTTGACCTGAAATAAAAAAAAATGTCAGGACAAATGGGATCCGGATCCGAACCACATAGTCGAATTGTTGCTTACAATAAAAGTACAAGCGTTTATAACTTTTTCAGAGGGTGGGTGGGTGGGGGCCGGGGGATGATGCACTATAGCATTTTATGAAGGGGCACCAAGGGTTGGCCAACCAATATTTTCTAGAAATTTCCTGGCCACCACATATACTGCAAATTGTTACAGGGAGCGGGCTGGACCTCTTTTGACGATAGAGGGCGCTCTTGTATTCTTACTTGTTTATTCACATTTTATAAAGTCGTTTGATAAGGGAAGTCAACTATTGTAATCTTGATTCCTCTGCGTATTAAAAAGCTGGCACAAATTATTTAAAAAGACGCTAGGCAAACAGCATTTATTATTATTGATTTTTTTTTTTTTTTTCGGGGGGGGGGGGGGGTTGGGGGAAGGGTGGGCATCGTTGGGACGGGGAATTCGTGGGGAGGGGGTACACGTGTCATCCAGATCCCCCTTCTCCTTATCTATCCTACTGTGTGTCAAATATGGATAAAATTCACTTAATTCAAATGCGGTATTCAGTAAAACTCGGTAAAGGGATTTATAATGACTGTTAATTAACAGTTAGCTTTTAGAAATTCAGCATTTATATTAGTAATGACTTTTAATTAACATTTACCTTTTAGACATTTAGCACTAAGATTTGTAATGACTGATTACTAACATTTAGTTTTCCATAAACGTTTAACACTTGTAGATGTTCTTCGCGTTAATATTCAATTCTCGAATTTTCCGGTGAATGTTCTTAGTATTATACAATTCTAAATTGGCTGCAAGCAGTCTTGGGAAGTATCATTTTTCGGGAGGTGAGATTGTTTGGCTGTGAATATTTAAAAATGTAACTGGCCAACCCACCAACAATTGAAAAGGATTGGACAGATGAAGGGCAAAACAGTAATTTCAATTTTGTTTAAGAAACCCCAGTGATGTCGGCTTGCATGTTATGTGGCCCTGAACTCTTTTTGAGTTAACATTGTTTAAATATAGCTTGACTTGGTTCAGTGCACCCTGGCCTGAAAGCTCCAATAAATAAGGAGTTGAAAGTTGTGGCAAAGAATGCAATAATGTACATGTCTTGCTATTACTCTCCGTTATGTTTTTTTGATAAATGAAGAAAAAACAAATGTGTCCATTTTATGATCACAAAGATTTTTCCAACGTTTAGCACGTCGGTTGTTAATAAATGAAAACAGATCGTTTCTATGCACAACTTTGGCAAGTAAAAAGTTATGCTTACGTGCGCATGGGGAATATTCCTCCTCTACGGTTAACACGTTTTTCGCTTTGTTTACTGCTAAATTTCTCCGTGAAATGGATGCATGTTGCGTTTAAGGGAGTATCGTGCACCCTCAGAAATCAACTTCCAATCGACGTAACTATTAGCATATTGAGGTTGCATGTAGGCGGATAGTGTTTGGGACTGCAGGATATAGCTACACTCCTAATACAGTTTCTTTTACATATGACGGTTAATGGGAATAATCAGGAATGGGGAAAAAGAATGGGAAATGAAATATCGCCCTCAAAAACCCCACTGTCAATATTAGCCACCGGCATAAAAAGCTCACATTTGTTTTTTAAAGGGCACTTATTCATACAATTAGGGCACTTTTTAGCAAAAGAAGGACACTATTTACAAATATGGGGGTGTTAAGCACTGGTGGAAAAGGGCATTTGAATGGAAAAGGGCAGTGATTACAAAGTATTAGAGGGGGCACCACCCTGCCCCCGCCTTTGTGTCAGGAGACAATTAGTGTTGCAGAGACATCATGTATTATCTACATGTCTAACTGTCACTCATGGAGCTTTAATATTCTACCTACTTCACTGTTTATTCTTTAAGCTTTTAACTGTTCGTCAGGTTCATCAAACTTCTTCGTAATAACTTGAAATGAAACTTTAATAACTGTTTACATCCCGTTGATGTAGGTCTTTGTGTTTGAGCTATTTGTCCGTGAAGCCGCCTCGTTGTCCCTCACTTACCCCAAATTCTAGATGGGGAGAATTGTATACTGAAATGCAAATGGTCTAACATCTCTTTATTCAATTTGTCAACGTAGGCGGTTGGGCAACTCTCTAAGTGACAATCAGACATGTAGATTATTGCCATCTTTCGCAACACTCATCAATCCTTTATTATAGCGTTCAATCTACTGCAAAAATATTATCTTCTTTATTAAAATACTCAAATGCAGAGTTACATACGACAAGGAACATCAGCGAGCGATGTCGAATATACATTTCGAAAATAATACTCCTTACAGAGACAGCAAGCAATCGTTTCATGAAAAAAATATATATACAAAGAAAAACAAATCAATATGTCTCTCAAGATGCACTTTATTTTTCGATTTTGTCAACTGAAGACGTATGCCGATGTGCTATTGTGTCCATTTTTACTTATATACAAAATGAACGACCACCGATGAGTATGGCCAACCACAACATACAAGTCTTTCTCAAACGACAAGCCAAAGCCCTGAACATACAACATGCAAAGACAGCAGCCTATGGGCTCCGTGCGCCAACAAAAGGGTGCCATTTTACCTAGCAACGTCGTCCCATGGGCGGGACACATACATTTCGCTGGGCGACGCGCGCGCACCGTTTCTTGTGTGTGACGCATGTACACCAGGGGATCTGTACTATGTACACGCAGTTGCCGCGCTTCGCGGCAAAATATTGCAGTCAGGCAAGATGGCGTCGTTTGGTCACCACAAACTGTACTTTCTTTGCCGGTGAGGGGGTACTTGTGAACTGAGTGGATGATCTTGTGATTGCTAGAAACCGTCTGGTCAGCGTGCTTACAATCGTCTTAGGAACTCTTATTAATATTTCTGTTCTGTGGTTCAACAGGTGCACTTTGTGTGTTTGCCTTCTATATCACCTCCGCCACCAACAGTTCACTTTGTGTGTTTGCCTTCTATATCACCTCCGCCACCAACCCCATCCTCTGCGAGTTTCGATACAAGAAATTCAGGCAAGGTATTAAGGCGGCTGTTCGCAGTTTCTTTTCTAGGCACGGCAATAACAGAGTTGACATAGAGATGGTGCCATTGTGGGAGTATGGAGGTATGTTGTTTCATAGGAACTTGGGTTTTTGCAACAAGGAAAGCAAAGAGCCTGAAATGTTTGACTGATGAACAATCGTACAACTGTGAAGCAGTGGAATCAATCCTGATTTACAAGTACAATGTACCAAGACAATATGGCATACAGAACGACAACGCTGTCAGTGCTAAGCCATTGAATGAATTGAGGACCTTTTCTTTTCTTAATCCTCTTAACCAAATACACACTGGTGCCCTCGGCTTTAGTGCAAATTTGAAATTCCTTAAACCTAAACGGGCCTAAATTTTCCGGCGGTATAGCGCCGTGAAACCTGAATTTCCCATATGCGTAGTGTACACAGAGCAGAATTATCATTCATACATATGAGCAATTTATTAGCCATAATTCTTAAACCATTTAAACTATAGTCGTGATATTTCTTGAGTATGTTTATAATAAGTTGTTCTACGCATGTACAGAGTTTAATATTTTTGTCGTCGCTCTATGGCCGAGATCTTTGGGGGGGGAACGCCCCCCCCCCTTTCCCCGGTTGAGAGCTGGTCAAAATAACCCGGCCTTTTCAGTGTTAAGTAATGTTTCCTATCAAGAAAGCAAACTTCTTTTGATTTGATTGAAGCTATAATGAGAAGTTAATGCGTGTGGCAACGGAAGCAATTCTTCCTATATCTGGCTGTCACTTAAAGAGCTGCCGAACAACTTTCTTTGATGAACTGTGTACATATAATATTGGTTACGGTCACCATTACTCATGTCGGGTAATTTAGGGACAACGAGGCGGGTTGACGGAAAATTACTGCTTTGATTACCTTTTTTTTTTTTTGGGGGGGGGGGGGGGTAGACCATTATAGGGTTAACACCCACTCATAAGGCGAAAAAAAATTCACTACAATTATACTACAGCAGTTACCGACCTTTATCAACTAACTCTCAGTACAAAATAGTGGCAATATAAAAACAAATAAGATAGCTGAATAATGGATGAAACAGACAATGGTATTATCTGAGTATGTGTTTTACGTCTTTACTTTCACAATGACCAAGAACTTTAAAAGACCACCCCCTCCCAAAAGAAAGACCAACCGACAAATGATACGAACCTCGAATATATAACACTGACAAAATTACGTTTCTTTTCGCACTATTTTAGATTTCGTCTAAATGTTAACGTACGCCTACATTAACAGAACAACAACAACAGCAGCAGTTTCATGTAGAAGATAATCTTCTTGTGTGATGCGTTAACAACAGAAAATCGGCTAATTATTCCCGAGGTCCAGAACCCACGAGTTTAGTACACTGTCATAATAAGGCATGTCGTTTATCGTATCTCAAAGACTGACAGAAGCGTATTTGGAACATTACGGAACGGGGTCTAATTGTATCCTCGCGTCTTTCATTGAAGCCTTGACGCAGGTTCAAAGTTTAATCGGCCACAGAACCTTTCCGTATCAAATATAAGAGGCTGATAACTGTAGAGTGCCACACGAAGCATCGGTTAAGCTAACAGTGAGCTAACAGTCGCATAGCAGCATTGTAGCGAATGTTGACGACTCTAGCTTTATCTTCGAGCATGAAATATTTTTTTTTCAGATGTCTGCATTGGCATTATATCAGTAAGACATTTCCCTAAAGGCAGCCGCTCATTAATGATCTGACGGTAAAATGATCAAACACACTTTGATGCGTTTTACGGCCACTTATTTCCTAGGCACGGCCTTTTGAGAAAATGAACATTTTTATACCAAATGTGGTAGAGCGAATGTTTAGTTTATGCGTGTGTCGCCATCGATGCATCCAAAAGAGTGGTTTGCAGAAATCATCTGATCCATAATAAAAGACGGCGACTCGGAGTAAGATACGTCAAGGAGCGTCAGTGACGTACAAAGAACACACACTGATGGTCGTAAACAACCTCGCAATGGGTGCGTTCGTTCTCACCTTTGTCGACACGGTTTAGCCCCGTGTCGTTCGATTAGCTCTGACGTCATTTTCGGGGCTCAACCGGGTCAGCCACCACAGACCCTGCTCGTGGAGTAGAGTCACTGGTGGAAGTACGTCACGCATGCGTTGTTCATTCCCTAGAAACAGACAAATTGGCGGCCGGACAGCGGAAATCGCAAGTGGACTTAAAAGTTGACTTTATTTGAAGTCTAAAGGTAATCATTGGAACTAGCAAACAGTTAATAGCAACTGTTAAGACTATAATTTCAGCCTAACTTTTTTTGAGATTTGCAATTGACTAGAAAGCATAAAATCTAAAACTTATAAGACCCGCGGTTGAGCGTTCCATT